CCATTCCCATCCCGCTCCCAGTTCCCCCAGTCCATTCCCATCCCGCTCCCAGTTCCCCCAGTTTCCCCAGTCCATTCCCATCCCGCTCCCAGTCCCCCCAGTCCATTCCCAGTTCTCCCAGTTCCCCCAGTCCCACCCTGCGTGCGCGCTCCTTCAGCAGCAGGACGTGTCCGTAGAGCGCGGCCGCGCCCGCCCGGGCCCCGCTGTCCCCGAGGAGCGCCGCCAGCCCCGGCAGCAGCCCCGGGGACACCGGGGCCACCGGGGCCACCGGGGCCACCGGAGCTGCTGGGGACACCAGGGACACCGGGGACACCGGAGCCACCGGGGCCACCGGAGCCGCTGGGGACACCGGAGCCGCTGGGGACACTGGGGACACCGGAGGGGCTGCAGGAGGGGACACCGGAGCGTCCCTGTCACCGCTGCCAGCGCCCCCCACCCTAAAACACCCACCCACCCCAGCCAGGCCAGGAGCGCTGGGATCCCAAAAACGGGACCCGAAAAACGGGATCCGAGAATGGGATCTGAGAATGGGATCCGAAAAAGGGAAACTAAAAACGGGATCCTAAAACGGGATCCAAAAACGGGACCCGAAAAACGGGATCCGAGAACGGGATCTGAGAATGGGATCTGAGAATGGGATCCAAAAACGGGATCCAAAAAAGGGAAACTAAAAACGGGATCCGAGAACAGGATCTGAGAATGGGATCTGAGAATGGGATCCGAAAAAGGGAAACTAAAAATGGGATCAAAAAATGGGATCCGAAAACGGGATCCTAAAAACGGTATCCGAAAACGGGATCTGAGAATGGGATCTGAGAATGGGATCCAAAAAAGGGAAACTAAAAACGGGACCCTAAAAACGGGATCCGAAAACGGGATCTGAAAACAGGACCCTAAAAACGGGATCCAAAAACAGGATCTGAGAATGGGATCTGAGAATGGGATCCAAAAAAGGGAAACTAAAAACGGGATCCAAAAACGGGATCCGAAAACGGGATCCTAAAAACGGGATCCAAAAACGGGATCTGAGAATGGGATCTGAGAATGGGATCCAAAAAAGGGAAACTAAAAACGGGATCCAAAAACGGGATCCTAAAACAGGATCCTAAAACTGGGATCCAAAAACAGGATCCCAAAAACAGGGGATCCCAAAACCAGGATCCTAACCAGTGTCCCTGTCCCCTCCCTGTCCCTGTCCCCAGTAGTGTCCCCTCAGTGTCCCCATACCCGGCTGTGTCCCCTCAGTGTCCCTCAGTGTCCCTCAGTGTCCCTCACTGTCCCCTCAGTGTCCCCTCAGTGTCCCTCACTGTCCCCTCACTGTCCCCTCGGTGTCCCTCCCTGTCCCCTCAGTGTCCCCTCACTGTCCCTCGGTGTCCCCTCGGTGTCCCCTCGGTGTCCCTCAGTGTCCCCTCACTGTCCCTCAGTGTCCCCTCATTGTCCCTCAGTGTCCCTCACCCGGCCGTGTCCCTGTCCCCTCACTGTCCCTGTCCCTCACTGTCCCCTCACTGTCCCCTCGGTGTCCCCTCTCTGTCCCCTCAGTGTCCCCTCATTGTCCGTCACTGTCCCCTCAGTGTCCCTCAGTGTCCCTCACTGTCCCCTCACTGTCCCCTCACTGTCCCCTCGGTGTCCCTGTCCCCTCGGTGTCCCCTCAGTGTCCCTCACTGTCCCTCCCTGTCCCCTCACTGTCCCCTCCCTGTCCCTCCCTGTCCCCTCGGTGTCCCCTCACTGTCCCCTCAGTGTCCCTCAGTGTCCCTGTCCCCTCGGTGTCCCTCGGTGTCCTCACCCGGCCGTGTCCCTGTCCCCTCCCTGTCCCCTTCCTGTCCCCTCGGTGTCCCTCGGTGTCCCTCGGTGTCCCTTGTTGTCCCCTCGGTGTCCCTGTCCCCTCGGTGTCCCTGTCCCTCCCTGTCCCCTCCCTGTCCCCTCGGTGTCCCTCGGTGTCCCCTCGGTGTCCCTCGGTGTCCCTCGGTGTCCTCACCCGGCCGTGTCCCCGTCCCCAGGCCGGGGCCCAGCTCCTGCCGCCGCTCCCGGAGCTGCTCCCGCTGCCGCTCCAGGCTCCGCCGCTCCTGCGGGAACGGCACATCCCGCCAGAAATTCCCATCAATAACTACATTCATGTTCATAATTCAGCATTAATAACAGGTCTGTTAATAACAATCACTAAGGATTCATTATTCATATTATTATAATTACAGTTTTATCATATTAGAATTGTTATAATCACTATCATTCTATTATCAATGTAATTATATTATAAATATCATTCTATTAAAAACGATATTATTAATTATTAATTATTAATTATTAATTATTAATTATTAAGTATTAAGTATTAATTATTAAGTATTAAGTATTAAGTATTAATAAATATTACTAAGATGGTGAAGGGTTTATAATGGAAGGGTGTGTATGGAGCAAGATGAGAAATAGGTAAAAGTAAAAAGAAAATTAAGAAAAAGCAAAATACGCCTTGTGGAAAGCGTCCTTTCAATTAGGAACTTAAATAATATTATACAATAATAAATATTAATATTATAATATTGTACATGTTACATATTATAGTTTTTGATGTAATAAGTAATTATATGTATGTAATATATAATTATATATATGTAATATATAATTACATATATATATGTAATATATAATTATGTATAATATGTAACAATAATATAAAGTATTATGCAATCTAATATAAATATATATAGCATATAATTATAATATATATAATATATAAGTTAAAATATTACACCTATCATAATCTATATTATATATACATATATAGATTATAATACATAACATATGTAAGATAAATATATATATAAAAAACACTATATAATATATAAGCTATATATCATATATATTATACATAATATATGATAAAATAACTATGCATAATGAATATAATGCAAATATAGTAAACATACAATAAATATATAATATATAACATACATCTAAAGTATCTGTTATATATTTAATATCTATTGAAACATATTTTTATATATAAATAATATATATTTATCTTATATATATATAAAATAAAATAATATATAGAAAAACTTATAATTAGATATTATTAGATATTAGATATTACTATTAGATATTATTATTTGATTTTCCGGGGGGATTTTTTGGGGATTTTCTGTGGGGATTTCCCGGGGGGATTTTCCGGGGGATTTTCCGGGGCATTTTCCGGGGGGATTTTCCGGGGGATTTTCCGGGGCATTTTCCGGGGGATTTTCCGGGGCATTTTCCGGGGGATTTCCCGGGGGATTTCCCGGGGGATTTTCCGGGGGATTTCCCGAGGGGATTTTCCAGGGCATTTTCCGGGGGATTTTCCAGGGGTTTTCCAGGGGTTTTCCGGGGCATTTTCCGGGGGATTTTCCAGGGGTTTTCCAGGGGTTTTCCGGGGCATTTTCCGGGGGATTTCCCGGGGATTTTCCAGGGGTTTTCCAGGGGTTTTCCGGGGGATTTCCCGGGGATTTTCCGGGGGATTTTCCAGGGGTTTTCCAGGGGATTTTCCGTGGGATTTTCCGGGGGGATTTTTTGGGGGTTTTCTGGGGGATTTCCCGGTGGTTTTCCCGGGTGGTTTTCCCGGGGGATTTACCCGCTGCAGGCGCTGCTCCTGCAGCCGCAGCCGCTCCCGCTGCTCCTGCAGCCGCTGCAGCCGCCGCCGCTGCTCCTCCTGCGCCCGGCGCGCCTCCCGCAGCGCCCGCTGGCCGGCCTGCTGCTGCTGCGCCGCGCGCTGCGGGAACGGGACGGGAACGGGGATGGGAA